TATTAAATAGATGTCAAATCAATGTAACCAAAACTGCCAATATTTGTGGTACAACACGAATATCATTGAAGCCATCAAATGATGAGAGTCTATAACCCAAATAAGCTGCGACTGGCATTACTCGGCGCCGTCCTATCGCTGTCATTCATAACTGTGTCAATCATCTCATATATAGATTCCAAACAAGTGGTCAATGATGTGTTAGACATTAATAGTCAACAACACCCGGTGCGGACCAAATTTATTAAAGTTCCGTTAGCTCTGTCACTATTATGGACCAAAACTAATGATGTGCTAAAAAGCGATTACGGAGATTATGGTCGTATCGGTGACATAATTGGTGACAACGATATTGGAGAGTATGACGATTACGATCAATACTACTCAGACGACAGTGCACTTAACCAGATCTTTAAAGACGGAGACTTTGACTTAAACAATACAACCGCTGCTTCAAGATTTGAACAGCGATTTCAGTCACCGATAAAAGTGATTATCACAAAAAGTCCGGTACCGAAAAAGGTAATAACAGAAGATCACATTTATTGGTCACAATGGATGGAAAAACGATACCCAAAAGGTCTGTCCGATAGTGAAGTGACCACTTTTCTCAAACAAGTCAAAGTAACGCCAGTGTCTCGGGTGGAGGCGCCCACTTGGAACAAGTGCGGCCGCGCAAGCAATCAGTTTGCTGTTTTTGCCGACGGCACCCAAGTATGCGCCCGATACAGATATCCGCACCAGTATTTAGTGTTGGGTGAAGTCATGTCATTTTATTTGTCACGATTGCTGGGTATGACAAATGTGCCGACAGTCACATTGACCAACACTAGTGACCCGATTTGGGCCAATGTCTGGAACGACAGTTTAGCTAAAAACTGGAGCCGTAACACTACTGTTGCACTCATTGAATGGATTGATGACTTAGAAAGGGATCGCATGCCTAGTCTTATATTGAATTCACTTATTAATAACCAAACCGTACACTACAATGATATCCGGTTAAAAAATCAGACAACCCGTCAATTGGTAGAACTGATGCAATGGAGTGATCTTTTAATATTTGATTTTATAACCGGTAACTATGATCGGGTGGCCAGTATGCAGGACGCAGCTCTCAAACAAAACAATACCACTATTTTAAAGGTCAGTCTTGTCTTACAATAATTGTAAATAATTAATTAGTTAATCAGCTTATTGTCATCAATAAAATTAAATAAATAGTTATTTTACAACTTTGTATATTTAAAAAATTATAATATTCAACAGTTTCTTGAAATTAATATTACAATTTTGTTTATTATATGATAATAATCTTTACATTGTTTAATTAAAAGACTTTTCATGAAATTAAAATCATATTAATATTTATAGTTTACCAAACAATCATAGATTCATTGATTATTAAAACAATAAAATATTATATATAAAAATAATGATTATATTGCTTTAGGTGTTTAAGTTATCTCTTATTATAAATAAATTTCAAAAACAATAAATTGATTTTTTTTTTAGAATTTTAATTATATTTTTTAAAGTTAATTAATTATTTTTGATTATATTTCTTTTAAATCTTTAAAACATACAGTATATATTAATTTATAGATAATAATAGCACAGTTATAATATGTGACAAAGTCAAAGTTATTATTAGATATTATTTATAAGATATATACTTTTAAGCAAAATTAACTTTTTAAATTGATTTTTATCATTTTTAAAAATTAATATAACTAAAAAGTAAATATATTTTTTTTTAAATATTTTATAAATTTTATGAATGATTAAAAAATAATGTTTAATCAGAAAGATCTAGTCATGAAATTAAAGTGATGATTACTAAACTATAAATAAAATTTTCACAATAAATAAAACTAATGATATTTTTATAATTTTTGTAATTTAATTAATTTATATTTTGATGTGATATAATTAGTTATTTGATTATTTTTTGTATTATTTAATGTCATAATTGTTTTGTCACAATATATTATACAAAGTTTTTATAATATTTGTATTATACAATAGTACAGTTCAAATATAGACTTAATAGAAGCCTAAATAAGCATTGATTTACATTAAGTTAGCTATAAATTAGTATATATTAGAACTTTAATATAATACAGATATTGTAAAGAACTTTCTATATTAGACTATATTTAATAAGATAAACAATTTGCTATACAAACATAATTTATTAATTTATATTTATATTGATGTTATATTGTATTACATGTCTTGTCTTTTTTGATTTATATAGGAAACGATCCACAACTTAGTTAAATCCACACAAACGGGTAGTATTTGGATGATTGACAATGAAAGTGGGTTTCTCGATGCCTATTGGCTTATGTATAGCCGCAAGAATGGTAACGAATCGAAGCACTTCCAGGACTTCCACACTCAGGCATTGAGTACTGTATGTATATATCGGAGGACAACTATAGAGCATTTGCGGCTCATCCGAAACCATCCGAATCCACACAAACTACTTATTGATTTTGTTGGACAATACGAGCCATCATTTAAAAAGCAATTATCACTAATAAAATCGGATTATTTGCGATATTTTACACAATATTTTCATCAAAGAATCGATAGGGTCTTCGCTCATGTCGACAGTTGTCAAGTCATTAACCATAAGAAGCGATAATAATAATAATAATAATAATAATAATAATAATGTAGACAATTATATGATACCATGAAATACTGCATATAAGCTGTTTATTCATTAAATAGCATACAAAAAATCATTACCTATTCAATACATCATTTCGTTAATAGTTTGAATTTTATATCTAATATATCTCTAATTGTCTCTAATGGACAACAAATTTGCCAACAAATTAGTAATTATTGTATACTGTATAATATGTTGCGAAAACATTATGTAATTATTTAGTCATTAATTATTATTATTACTCAATGAATTTGCATTATTGATATTATTGTATTAAATTTATTAAATATTTGTATAGAATTTATGTACATTTAATTTGACTTTTTGTTATAATAATAATATAAAGATTTTATGTAAAAATAAATCATAATAATAATAATAATAATAATTTTATTAATAAAAATATAATAAAAAAAATATTTCAAATAAATATTTTTATCGTATTATTAATTTTTTGACTCAATAAAAAAACTATAAGTTTTCAGAAAGTTTAATTTAAAATAATATTTTTCTGTTAAATGATTTTTTGCAAGGATACTAAATATAAATTTACCAAATGATACGACATACAGTATACAGTATACTTTTCTATACAGTATATATATATATATATATATATATATATATATATATATATAGTCTATGTGTGTATATAATTTCAATTGATTTTATCAAATCATTAGTTGTGAGGATATAATTGTGAACTTTCAGATCATTAACGATCGCAGGACTGGGAGTATAGCTAACTCATAGTCTAGTATTCCAAGTGTTGTATCCAAACAAACACACGCGAGTTGTTTGTCTGCGGCACTGGAAATAGCCTTTAATTGATTTGTTCATTATTTTAATGGTTTTGTCCACTATTTTATGTTTAGTATACAACTTTTCTATAGCGATCAGTTAGACATTTAATATCAAAATATTGGGAACCACTTTGAGTTGAAAGCAATCATTTAATGACCAAATAAGTTATATATACCGTATATAACCATTATATAGTACAGTACTATCAATATAATGTATTTAATATACAGTATATTTAGTTTAGCCTAAAGACTGTTTGCTTTTGACATTACATTTCATAAAAATATTTTTTATCAAATAAAAAAACTTTCTATTATTTTGTCGTTTACAGTAATATAATAATTCAAAGAAATTGTAATCAATTTTTCATTTATTCATCCATTCATTCATTTCATTTCCATTTCATAGGATATGACTTTTGCCATCAAAAATAAGTCAAAACGCATTATAAATGTCCACACAATTTAATATTTGAGATATTATAAGATATAATATAATATAATATTATTAATGAAATTTCTGAATTAAATTAGATTATAAAATATTTGTTTACTGTCTGGCGTCTCATTCAATGATTAAAATAAATTTTTGTATTTTATTTCTTAAATTACATATATATTTCATTAATTAAATTAAATTACTGTTCGCTCTCATCTAATGGTCGACAAACAAATAAACAGAAACATACGGGAAATTTAATTAAATGATTAAATTAAAGACAATCTGATAGTAGATAATAAATTCAATACAATAATCATTTGAATAATCAAATCATTATAAATAATTGTATTAGAAATACTTTAATCATTAATCAAGAATTTCTAAATTTAACTTAACTAACATTAATGCAAACAAAACAATAATTTTAGCTAAAATAATGAATATTATTCAAATTAGTTGCTAATTTAAAATTTGTTTTATCAACAAATTAATTGACTTATCAAATAACGAATCTAAAAAATGAGTTAATTAAATGACAAAACACACCAAAAAAATAATTTATCAATAATTAGCAGTATATTTCTAATTATCATAATAGTGTAAATTTTATTTAAATAGTTTTACTTTTAATTTAAAAATACTATTAATTTTGTACATTAATAAATAGATATAAACTGATTAGAATTAAATAACAGTAGATTTTAATTTTAATAATTAACATTTAAATTTTATTTAAATTATATATTTTCATTAAGTTAAGTATAAATCATCGTTATTTAAATTAATGTACTGTAATTATAAATATAGTATTAAATTATTATTACAGTACTACTACAATGTATTCATAAATTTTTCATTAGATTATTGAATCAAATCAATAGATTTATTTACCGTAATAATAAAATTCATAAATCAATAATTTATTATAAAAAGTAATTAACATAACAATATCGTTAAATTAATGCTATAAAACAATGAAATGAAACATACTATACATTAAGTTACAACAAATTCATTACATTAAAATAAATTGTAAAATACTTTTAAGATAAATCAGTAAAAGAGTCACCATTTATGGTCCAATCAATGGCGGCGACAATTTAGAAATTTTCAACATTATGTGTGCGCGAGTTTTGACAAATTTGTGCTTTGAGTCCATACTATTATCTTCTGGCTCTTTGGTTACAACCTTAAGATCATCTAATGAAAGGCTATCTAAAGTAATCACAGTTGGTTGCGATGGAGGTATCACTGGACACATAACAGACAAACTATTGATTTTTGGCAACGAATCAGAAAAGTATTTTCTGAGCTGAAAATAATTGGGTCGTTCATCAAACTCCAGATTCAGACAATAATTCATATATTGTCGAAAAGCTTCGGGAAGACCTACACAAAGTTCATCGACACTACAGTTTTGTTTAATTTTGTGGACGGCTTTCATATGGTCGAGTCGGGTGCTAAACATGTTGGATCTGATTTGAGACCACGGGAGTCCATCGTTGGCTAAATAAACCAATGTATAGCCAACGGAAATCAGATCATCTCTACGCGATTGTTCGTTGCCGTCGTGCGCGTGAATAGACATGAACTGCACGTTTCCCACTGAATAGGCGATACCTTTACGACGATTCACTATATGGCCACCACTTACATCAGCAAACTCTTTGGCTAAATTAAAGTCAATCAAATATAGATGACTATCATTATCGGTGTCAACAACAAAGTTTTCAGGTTTAATATCTCGATGAATGATATTTCTTAAGTGACAATTAGTTAGCCGTGATATCATTTCATCGGCGTAGCGGACAATGAGCTCCAAATCAATCGTTTGGTTTTTACTTCTCTTCTTTTTCATGAAATCATGTAAATTGACGCCCAATGGCCTCATCAGTAAATATCGGAAACTTTTGTCCGACAAATAGTCGACTACAATATCGAAGTGGTGTGCAGTCGATAACTTCTTGTATAATTCAAACTCTGTCTCCAATCGATTCCTGTCTTTAATTTGTTCCACTTTAAGGATAAGCTCTTTGTTATCGTGTTTTGTATCGAAACACTTATACAAATCTTTATAATGCTTCAGCTGTTCCCACACTTCATAACGATTACCGATTAACTGTCCCGTCTTGTGGTCACATATTCAGTCAAATAAGATAAAAGTCGGTAAACAATAGTCAGAATAAAACTAATCATATCTTATCATAATTATGATTAACTTACCGCTAAAATTGGTGCCATTTTGTGACACTCATCAAGAGGTGACCTCTGATATGATATGTGATGAGTATTTCAGTGGACACTAAATGAGTAAATTACTTGAGGCGCGTGTGTTGTTGTTGTGATTGTAAACACGTGTTGTTGTTGTGATTGTAAACACGTGTTGTTAAGTGCAATGAGTTGTTTGTCGATTATGTTTATAATACATACAATGTTTACAAAGTGTTTGTTTCAATCAATTTGTATATTATTTCAATGCATTCATAACAGCTGTCATAATGACTGTTAAATATTTTTACTGTAATAACTAAAGTATAGTCTAGTTTTTTTTAATTAAAATAAATACTTGAATAATGATTAGTATAATTAAAACTCAAATAAAAATGTAAATTTCAGTCAATTTGTATATTACGTTAAATTATTTTATTTTGTAATACTTGAAGTGCGATATAATATACAGTATTAATATTTACGTTAATATAGCTATAAATTTATACATTTGTATTTTCAATACATTGTATTGCAAATTCTTATAATTATTTTTTTAAAAGTTATTACAAAAATTTACATTTAAAAAATAGAGTACATTTCTGATTAACTTAAAAACTTTTGACGATAATTATTATTTGATATTTTAAATCTAAATAATACATTAAAACATATTTGATAATGTTTTACAAAATGGTTTATAAATTCATATGATATATAAAAAATCAGTTATTTTTATTAACTCGTAATATAATCATTTAATTTAAGTTATAATTATAATTTTTCATTTCAAAGTTATGTTATATTTAATATTAGTATTTTGACATTATTTTATAATTTTTAAAAAGTGTTTAAAACTGTGGATCAGATACATAGATCTTAATCAGAAATATATTCAAATCGTCTGTATTTTCTGTAGACTCGAGCGTTGTTTTCATAACCATAAGTCCAACCGGTTTTATAATCACAAAATATACGCCTAAACAACGGGTCATTTGTTTGGGAACCGCTAGTATTGATGACAGCGGTCTCCGTTACGTCTGTTTTCATATCTTTTTCTTTACCGTTGTATTCAGTGTTTATGTTTCGACAAATTTGATAACTTTTCATTTGATGATAGATATGCAATAGTTTGAGTCCATCCTCGGTGTCCACTGCTATGAATTGATCCCTTGACTCATACATGCCGTCCATTATATACTTGGGAAGTGCGAACTGATCTCTTATAGTGACTCTATTTTGTAGACAATCGGCGTTATAGATGTCAATCTTTTGTTCATCATTACCGTTGACCACAAAATCATTAGAGTTGTCCTCATTATTATCGTTTGAATCAAAGTTCAGTGAACCGCCTAATAATCCGCTGACAATCACTTCTTTAACAGCTTTCTTAATACATGAGTATATCATTAGTAAACTAAGTTTTTGTGGCAAATAATCTTTGATTGAATTCATGGTTATTCTCATATTTTCACACATATCTGTATTTTCTGTAACCAATCATACTTTGATTGAAATTTCTGGACATTCCGTTACATATCATAATAATCTCGTGATTTGGTTTTTTAAAATTTTTATGTATCAAATAATAAATGAATTATTTAATTATTAAAATATTTTTCCATAATTATGTCATAATCTTTTATAACCAAACAAATTAATTTTTAAATCTAAACAATAAAACATAAAAAATTAATGTCTTGAGATGTGAGTGCAAGACATCAATGCTTTATTATATTCGTATATAAACTAAAGTTTCGGTTAAATTAAATGAACAGAAAAGATATGATTTAATAGTGAATAAACATTTGAATAATTCATTTCATTTACTATTTGATACATTGTTTGACATTAAGTGAATCAAACAGTTTGATAGCGATTAAAAAATTTAGATTATTTATTGTCAATTACTATCATAAGTAATACAATTCAATTGAAATATTTGTTTTTTAATTCATAATATATTTTTATATTCATTTAATTTGAAACGATGACAAAACCTAATGAAAAGCAATTGAATTTAGAAATGGATAATAAAAATTCAATAAATGACAGCAAAAAGATCAGTAGTTTTCAATCATTAGAAAAATTAGACTTAAATAACTTGACGGTTAAGATCAGAAATATGTCATTCAGTTATCACCGGATTAAGAAAGGAGTGAACATTTTGAATAATATAAACATGTCTTTACCTAACGGTGCTATGTATGGCCTGTTGGATATATTAGTCATACCATTTGACAACATTACTAACATTTAAGTTTTAATCTTTCTTTTTATTAATTAAAGTTATGGTCTATTAGGTCCTAGTGGTTGCGGTAAAACTACTTTATTGAAATTAATATTAGGTTTAAAGACTGCATCAAACGGCACGATTGAAGTCAATGGCAGACAACCGTTACACCCTTTAAATAATATTCCGGGACATGGGGTGGGCTTTCAACCACAGGTTAACAAATATTCATAACATTTCTAATTCTTTTAATATAATATTTACAATAATTATTAATTCAATAGGAAATAGCACTCTATCCTGAGTTTTCAATACGAGAAACGCTTAACTATTTCGCACAAATATATGGTATTAAAGATAGTGTTAAAAATTTAAGAATTGATTTCTTAATAGACTTTTTGTCGTTACCTAATCCTGACAGTGCTATCAGAAATTTAAGGTTTTTTATGCAAACAATATGTAAACAATTGTATATTTAATATGATATTAATATCTTAATTTGATTGAAGTGGTGGTCAACAGAGACGAGTATCACTGGCCGTTGCTATTGTCCACAGCCCACCCATTCTTATCTTAGACGAACCGACAGTAGGTGTGGATCCTATGCTTAGAGAAAGGTATGTCTGTAAGTGTCATCTTTACTCACATTAATTACTTAATTTTAATTATCAGAGTTTGGGATCATTTAGTATCGTTATCTCGTGAAGAGAAGACAACAATTTTGGTGACAACCCATTATGTAGAGGAGGCCCGACGGGCACATGTTATCGCTCTGATGCGTTCCGGTCGGCTATTGGTTGAACAGTCACCCAAATATCTATTAAATTACTTTGGATTGTCATTACTAGAAGAAATTTTTTTACGAGTTTGTCAATCGGATGAAAACCCTGACAAAGCAAAACAAGTGATGCCTAAGAGTTTCATTGAAACGACTGAACCGCATAAAACTTCGCCAATGATTGTTAAGCCTACGAGTCCAAGACAACAGACTCTTGTTTTAAAACCAAATCATTGGAAACGCTTCAAAAGTCTGACCCGAAAAAATTATGTCCGTATATCTAGAAATTTACTGTAAGTATAGATAAATAAGTTTTTTACTGAATTTATTGATGTTTTTAAAACTAATTTACCGGTAATTCTTTCTATAGTGTCTTAGTCTTCCAGATACTAATGCCCACACTTTCAATGATATTGTTTTGTATATGTATTGGTCGACTGCCCCATAATCTCAAAGTTGCCGTCTATAATGAGGAAGACCTGTTTCCTAATGGTAGTGGTCAGAGACATGAATGTCGATATAATAATTTTAGCCACTATTTCATTGACTCTATTGATAAGGAAATAGTTAAACTGGTATTTGTTGTTTGATTAATTGACAAATTCAACAGTTTAGAAAAATATATTTATGTATTAAAAATAGGTTTATTACAAAACTAATGAAAGTGCTATAGACTCGGTTAAAATTAGTGACACATACGGAGCACTGGTAGTTGACCGGCATTTTAGTATATCTCTGTGTCATAGAATGGAAGATGAAAATAATGTACCGAACAGTACAATTCAGTTTTATGGTGATCTGACTGGTATTCAATTAATTCAATTATAACTAATGCCATAAATCTATTCAAAATATACTTATAATTTTGTGATTCAGATATCAATATATTTCAAACAATATCAAGAGCTCTGTTTTCGGCACAGTTTCAATTTATCCGCAAAGTGGTCATCGTTTTGAAAACTATATTACCATCTAATAAGACACAAATGCTAAGACACGAATCAATGACGCCGATGCTTAACATTGCAGATCCCATCTACGGAGCACCAAAACCGACATTTCGTGACTTTATGACACCGGGAATGATGATAACCATTATATTTATTTTGGCCGTCGGTTTAACAGCTATTTCATTTGTTACGGAAAAGAGGGAGTCGTTATTGGATCGGACACTCCTGACTGGTGTCAGAACCTATGAAATACTATTATCGCAAATATTTATTCAGATATTCATTATATTTGTTCAAATATCACTTCTAATGGTTATTATATTTCCCATATTTGATATTAAAAACAACGGTCCCTATGAACTCATTGTTTTCATAAATGTATTGCAAGGAGTTTGCGGAATGACTTACGGTATGGTTTAGTCTTAAAATCTAACATTTCTGTCCAACCATTAAAATTGCTTTCAAAACAATATTTGAATAATAGGTCTATTTATATCAACCATCACTAGTGATGAACAGTCGGCTTTAATGGTGGCTTTTGGCTCATTTTTTCCCGTAATACTCATGTCAGGTGTGTTTTGGCCATTAGAGGGAATGATATCAGGTTTGCAAATAGTTAGCTATCTTTTCCCGCAAACATTAGCCGTTATATCGTTGAGAAATATTATGCAAAAGGGGTGGACTATTTTACATACATATGTTTGGTTGGGCTTTGTTTCTACCGGTGCTTGGATTATGATATTTATAATCGGTTCGCTCATATTTGCTGCAATTTAAATTGTTATTATTTTATTTAATATTTTATTTACTAATTTATTATATAAACTTATAATGGCAATACAATGTTTAAATCTAAATTTATCAAATATTATTTATAAAAAATAAAAAGTATTACATAGATATAAAATTATAGTAATGAATATATTAATATTACCATAAATTAAAATATTATTGAAATTACGGTAATTGTTATCAATTTTATTTATCAATTCAACAACATTAGCATTTGTTTATCACAATTAAAATTATTATTAAAAATTACATTTAATGAATTTATTTTCCAAAAGTTGACTATTTTCTCTATTTCCTATGAATTCCTATGGAATCTATTTCCTTGTACTAAACCACCTATTTTACTCTAAACAACAAATTTTATTATAAGATTTGAATAACAAATATTGTATTAAACTGTATTTTGAGTGTTAAATAGTATTACTAAATTCATTGAATTCTAATTGATTTTTGAATATTTCAATGAAATTTTATGCAAAATATTTCATTTTTGGTACTATTTATTGTAAAAATATAAAATATATATTCCTTTCTAACGATGAATGGAGAAAAAATAAAATATTTTGCGGGAAAATTGGAGGGATTTTATTAGGGAACTTCCATCCCTTAGAAAGTTGCCTAAAAATTTAATTACGGTAAATGTTATTTAAGCAAATGATTGAATTAAGTAACGGGTGTATGAGTTCGGTCGACATGAATGGACACAATGTGTTGGCCCGGAATCATAGCTAAACCCAGCACTCGTGGCTCTTCAGTAGTCCCGTCCTCTGAATAAATTACAAATATATTATAGAGTGTTTACATACATGTATTGTAAGTTATGATTAAATATTAAATATTTTGTTACCATTGGGTTTAAGATACTCAAGACATGAGCCCAATATGACATTCCTGTCGCGATCGGTGCATAAGAATATACCGATTAGAGTGCGGCCGTCACTCATCAAGATCTTCATGTTTTTGTTGATCCAATTCTCTAACTTTAACCGTAATTCCGATTTCACTTCGATTGGCTGTTACATCAAAATTATAACAAAAAAAAGGATTAAATCAATAAATTGTTTCATTAATCTATTTCTTACAGTCTATAAGTAAGTATTCATTCAATGAATGAGCTAAAGATTGGGGATTAGGTTTGGGTGACGTAAACCAGACATTAAGACCCAACTGTTTCATAGATTGACCGGTAGTACCACCGATGGCTACATATCTCAGTGTTAAACTCTGAAGTAGTGTTTTATTATTTATGATATATTGGATGAGAAATGGATAAACAGATTTAAGACCCGATGGACTAAAAAATATTACAATTAGTCTGAGTTTCATCTCATCTGACAATTGGTTTGATAAAGAAATCAAATCATTGCTTAGTTGCGCCACTTTTGTGTCCAACCCTTGGTTGGTATGAGTTTCATAAATAGGTATCTCATGAACATCAATGCCTGCACTGGTCAACAATTTCGGTAAAATGTCACTTCGGGATTGACTGCATGGAAATAGCACCGGCAATGCCGTCAACTCGTGTCTGTGATTTTCAATCATCATTTTGGCTAAATTTTCTCCATTTCCCGCATCACTTCCCAGTGCTTCCAAACCTAACTTAGCTTTTAAATAGTAAAATGATTTAAGACCGACAATAAAGACTAGTTTGTGATGTCGGCGCCACAAATCAATGACATCAATACCACTGTCTTTACTATAATTAATGGCCATTTCAATGGCATCAACACATCGTTTACTAGTCAAACATAAGGCGGACCACTGGTCTGAGGCCAACAACGAGTCATATAATCTCTTAGTGTTAATAAAAGTGAACGAAATGGGAGACAACTGTCTAAAAGTCATAGTATTTGTCGAGCATTTGCTTTGAATCTCATCGGTGTAATCATCGATGGTATCATTACTGGTCATCAGCACCACTATAGTGTCCATTACCTTTGATTGATCATCACTTGAAATATCACTTTTGGTGGTTACCGGCGATGGTGTTATTGATGTAACCGGTGAAGACAATTGCGATATCGGATCCATGTGTTTGGCCACCGATTTCAATGACACAACTAAACCAATTAAAGTGATTATATGTCTTCAACAACACTAAAGTAATCACTCAATGATAACAATTATCTGATAATAAAGTCATCAATCATTTGATGATAATTACCATCAATTAAGTGATGATTTACTTCAATGTCTTTCCAATGAATACTCAATTCATTTATATTTTAATATTTTATAAATAAAATTATATTTTTCACATAAATAATGTCTTAATTCATATAAATATTTAAAGTAATTGATTGCCATTGACTTCAATACTAAATCAATGCTAAATTAATAATGTATTTAATTATCAATTCATTTATTAATATTATTAATAAATAAAAATTTTGCCAATAATTGGATAAATTAATTTGGAAAATACAATATAATTATTATACTGTATATATCATACATTAGTTGTAATTATTACAGTATTATTGAACAAAACATGTTTATAATTTACAGTAAAATTTTTATAAATTTAAATGATTTAAATGATTTAAATTTTGATATCATAGTACAGTACATAATCAGGAGTTTTATTTTTATTAATTTATAATTAATGATCAATTATTTAATGATTTAATACTTGACGTCACTGTAATAATTATATAACACATGTGACAATAAATAGCAGATATTAACAACAAAATAATAAATTACTGTAAAATTGATTTATACTGTTATACTGTATACTAAAATTTTAACATTTGATAATTGAATGCTTGAATTTAGAAATATCGATATTAAACTAATTGCAATAATTATTAACTTAAAAAATTATTTATATTCACAAATATTACACATTTTCATAGAGAGTCAGTAAATTTGATAATTATTGTATTTAATGTATTTGTATTATCAGTATTTGTTATGCACTAATAAATAAAGTGTCATATAATTAATTATTATCATAAATTTATTTACTTTACAAAAATAAACGTTTACATAACTTTCTAATAATTATTTAATAATTAATAATATATTAAAACAAATTATATCGTTGTGTTGTACTATATTATCTTAGATTAAGTTAAATATAAGATTTTTGTTTCTCAAATTGTATTTTTAGTTTTAAATTTAATAGTTTACAATTTACACATTGATTTAATTAAATATTTAAAAAAACTAAAAGTTCTTTTACTTAGCGGTAATGATAAATAATTATTTTGTTAATTTATTGAATGTTATGTAAATAAAAATTGATTATAATTTCTAATTATTTTGGAAGAAATACAAAAATTGTATAAATAATTTTGTAATTTTGAAAAATTATTTGATTAATAATAAAATTTAAGTACAAATTATTTTTTAATAATATTATAAAAATGATATCATTTCCTATGAATGTATAATTTATTTTTTTATTTTTATTTTTATTTTTAATTTTACCAATTATTTGAAAAAATTTTATATTTGATTAACATTAATAATTAAAATACAGTGTATTATACAATGTAATTTTTTTAAATATCTAATAATTAATTTATAATGAATTTTTTAAAATTTGTTTTTCAATAATTTTTTACTATTCAACTAAACAGAATTAAAATAAAAATAATTGTTTAATTTATGAATTATTTTATAATTATAATAAATTATAAATTATAATTATATTAAGAATTTATTTTGTTTTGTTTTAAAGGAGTAATTAATTTCATGAAATAGTAAATACTAATTTCATCAGGCATGTTTATAAATTACATAATGTCAATTCAATGGCAGTAAATACAATACTTTGCATGTACTGAACTATATATAAAATTATATACATATATTATATGAAAATAAAGTGATGATGAAAAGTGGCTAAAATGTTTCATAAGTTTTTTATAGCTATAAAAATGATGAGTTTTGTTGAAAGTTTTCCATAATAATTATTATTAACTAAAAACATTAAATATAATCAATATTTTAGAAATCATTAAATTATTAAGAATTAATTAATTAATTTACAATTTAATTAGAAATCAGTGGTTAAAAGTTAAAATAATAATTTTATTTATACAGTATTTCAAGTATCGATAATTTACATTTGAAAGTTGTATCCAATAAATTAATAAATTTTGAAATATGAGTGAAAATAGTGTTAAAGTCAATGACACTGATCTGACAACAGTTAATAATTTTGGATGTCACCGAAAATGGCCATCATTTTGGTCACAAATAAGATATAATCGGCGACTTTGGGATATCAACGATGATATAACAGAAAGTCAAGAAACACTGGAATCAAGAATTACTGAAAACTGTCGACAATGGCGTCAAAGATGGCAAACAATGAAAGATAAGACTCATCATCACTACAACTGTCATCGATTTACAACACAAAAGGATAACTCAAATGAAGAACATATTGGCCAACAAAATGATTCAATAAAAACATCAATTTTGGAAACAACAGTGAAGTCAGTGTCCGTTTCCACTAAATTACCACTTCTTCGTTTGTAATTCATGTTTGTTTTCATTTTCACAATTAAATATCAAATTAATTAATTTTGAATTAAAAGTATAAATTATATTTAGTCACGTTTACAATATTTTAATTGAACTTTTAATTTATGCAATTAGTTTAGAAATTTAAAACTCTAATATTTGTATTTTTAATTTGATTTCATAAATAAAATTTATTAACTATTAATTAATAATTTAATAGACTTTCAAATAAAATCATTTTCATTATATATATATATATATATTACTATATATGTCAAACAAGAAAAAGATTATTAACTCAATTATTAAAATTTATTCTACAATTATTGTAATTTTGTAAAACAAGGATAAAATATAAATTTGAAAGAAAACATATAATTGATATTATAATAAGAGGTTTGAAAATAACAAAAAATGAAAATATATAAAATTATATTAATCAATAATAAAATAATAAAAATTATTATATAATAATGAAAACAATTTTTTAAATTACACATATATTGCGGCCAAAAAATAAAATAAGATAATAATAATAATAATAAATGACTTTTTTGATTGATTGCTTTGTGATTAAAATTAAGTCATACATATTTTACAATACTATAATAAAAATAAAAATAATAATGTTATATAATATTAAAACAAAACAAAATACTAATAAAAAAATATGTTTCACTTTAATAAAAAGTCTTGAACTAATCGGTTAAAATCTGCGGCTTTTTCCTGATGACAGGTATGCGCGGCTTTCGGGAAAATGACGAGTCGGGCGCCGGAAATGTTTTTCTTAAGATAGAGAGCGTGCGGTTCCATAGGCGTCACGATGTCATTCTCGCCGTGCAATATAAATGTCGGACACTTTATGTCTTTCAAGTACTGAGTGGCGAAATCTTTCAAACGGTTATTTTCATCGACCCAACGACCCCATACCATCTGTAAGTCCTCTTTATAGATCGGCTCAAAGATATTCTTTCGTTCATTACTCCAACCGGACACCTCTTTACATAAACTAAGTGTTTTCTTTTCTTTCTCACCGATGAAGGCACAGGTGCCCCAAATCACCATTTTTCTCATAACTTGCGGATATCTGGCCGCAAATATCATTGATGTGCGACCACTATCGCTAAATCCCATAATACTATACTTCTCGTAACCAAAATGTTTCATAAATTTCAGTATCAGATCTCCGTCTCTAATGTAGGCATCCTTATAGTTACGTTCAGGCGGTCGACTTAGTCCGAAACCGGGCGGATCCCATGCAATCAATGTGAACTTTGTCAGGTCAAAGGCCTCCCATTGTTGTGAAAACTCTATCTGAACTGTACCTACAATACGGTATTTTAAATGAAATTTTTAAATTTATTTTATATTATTGACAACAAATTTATAACCTTAAAATATAGTTACTAATAGTTTCAAATATGATAATTTAAAGGTATTTTGGCAAATAAATAACATTTGTTTTTCAAATTAAATAAATATTATGTGCATAGAAATAAATTATTGCTATATTGAATCAATAATTAATTAATAATATATTTGAAATAAAAATTAATGATTAAAACAAATAATTATATGATGTTATTGGAGGACAAAACACATACCAAGAACTCCAGGAAGAAGAAGGACGACGTGTTCACCCGTTCCGGTCCTCTCATAGTATAGACTTAAGTCATCGATTTCTACTCTTCCGGTCTCTGTCTCTGGCATTTTGGATGTCAAGTCTTAAAGAGATAAATATATCAATTATTAAATTAAAATTATTATTACAATACATTTGTGTGAAAATTCAAATAACAAAACAACAAAATGTTTACTTGTATACAAAAAATTTCAAAAACAATTTAATCTTAATTTTAATCAATTGAGACAAAATAAAGTTTCAAACATATAATGTCACTAATAATAAATTATATAACAACTAATAATATTTGTCGACTATATATTAGTAAATAACTGAGAGATAGCTTACTGTATGAGAGAGAGAGAGTGTGTATGTGTTTAAGAAAATGAAAGAGAGGTAAGAGAGAGAATAGATGTTAATTAAAAGTTTGTTTTCAAAACATGTAAAACATCTGAAACTACTTTTTTTTCAAAAATGAGAACTTTTTTCAGTTGTATTGAAAGCTCGAACGATAATATTGGGTCACACGGCAGGGCTCGTCACCCGACGCCACCACTACCAGTGCTCCAGTGCTACAGGTTTTATGGTTTTACGTACATATGATTTAATATTTGACTTTTCAATTATTATTTTAAGCCAAAATTTCCTCTTGAATAATAAAAATGACTATAGATTATTGCTACGAGTGATTTAATATGAAAAAATTGCCCCAAAGCTATATGTATAGGTTTACACAAACCATAACTACTTTTTTTTATTATACCAAATCAAAACTCTCTTATATACAGGTTTTATTGAATACAACATTATTTTCTCCAATCTATACCAATAATATTTGCACTCTTACTATAGTTTATGTAATATGATTTTTCCCTCTATCTATACAGATGTTTATTATATGTATCAATATATCAATATTTGGTTTTTACAGTATTAGAAATACCTGCAATAGGATATCAAATGCATGTTTGTGACATAAAAATACAATTTAAAATATATTATCTTTTAACATATGGATCATAAATTTTAAAAATAATTTTATTTGGTATTTTTGTGATTTTTCTTTGTTTCATAATTGTATATTATTTATGAACAAATAAATATAGAATTGATGATAATTTAGAGGTTAATTTTGAAAATTTGAAAATTTAATCAGTAAAACGCTAACTAATAATTACTGAGACTGAGGTCTAATAATTAGTATAAAGAATAGATAAGTTATTAAGTATTGTAAAGTTTGAGCCAATCAATTGAAATATATGATTATTTATTTTCTAAATAATCATTATTTATGATTATATTAAAAAATAATAACTAATATCGTAAATAATGAAATAGTAGAGAATATTACTTCAAGGATGACTATATTGTATATATTGGCTAAATATAAGTCATTGAAAAATATTGCTTATAATGTTTCTGAGAAAAAAACTATTATGAAATAATATATTGAGAGTCATATATCCAAATAAAACGATTAACAAGTTTTTTAAAATTCAATGGTTGACTACTTAAAAACAACGCGTAAATTATAATTATATTTCATGAAAATATAATTTATTTTTATTGGTATTACAGCAAAATTTACGTCAAATAATTGTTTAACATATACAACAAAAACAACATAACCTGAAACAACACAACAATTTATTTCACCGGACTTTTTCCCATTTGTAGGGATTATAGTGACTAATATAAAGGTATTGGACAGGCATTGTAAATACCAGCGATAGTACAGTATTAATCTGATAAAATCATTAAAAATTTTATCACACTTAAAATTATGTAATATTGTTTATGTTTTTAAATAATTTTTTTATATATTATCTAAAATCTGATTTAAATACTAAATAGTTTATATTTTTATTAAAATTAAGCTGAGAAAAATATTGTTTTATATAAAAAAAATAATTATTAATATACAGAATATAATTTATAAATTGTATAATAACACTGATTTAAGCATTTAGTTATTTTCTACTTATCGTCACCATCACTATTATATATATAATTGTAATATTCTAACTGAAAGTTTAAAAAACTAAACAAATTAAACTGTATATAATATTTTATAATTTTTTGACAGTAAAAAATAAGTATTTTATGTTATACATAAAAAAATTTCATACATAATATATTCCAGTTTTTTATAATCCAGTGATAAGATTACAAACAACAAACATTTAAGAAAATACATAATTATAAAATAATAACCTTTTTAAATATAATTATAATAATATTAAGGGAACGCTAAAAATGACAGCAATATATTAATAATAATATAATATTAATAATAATATTATTAATACAACTAAATAAAACTGAAAATGTATTCTCACTGTTTGTGTGACTTTAATAATAATAATAATAATAATAAAAATAATAATAATTTTTAAAAAGGTGTTTGTTTGTATAGTGTTTATACCACTTAAAACTAATACATCATATTTAGATGATTTGTTTTAAGTGACAAATGTTGTGGACATAGTGTTTGACAATACCTATATAATAAAATAATAATAATAATAGTTATTAAAAAACAGAAGTTTGTGTAGTTTTTTCAGTTATAAGCATATATATGTCGAGTGGCAAAGAGTTCATCGAGTATGGACTCGTCAGCCATCGAAGATATGTCTCCCAACTCGCAGTCATCTCTGGCCACTTTGGCCAGAATGCGGCGCATAATCTTTCCAGACCTGGTCTTCGGCAGTCCACTCACAGGATGGACGATCTCAGGCGCAGCCAATGCTCCGATCTTATCGCGTGCTTTGGATTAATCAATGGAAAAGTTTTATTATTAATTGTCAGCAAAAAAAAGTTTAATAGACTTTAAAAAGTGATTTGAAAGGCTTTGACACAATAATTGTCACTTTGTTTTACCTCTCATTTTGAGGTCTCGCTCCAGTTCTTTAGTAAATACAAAACCATTTTTAAGTACAATATAACAGTAGAGACATTCACCCTTAACGGGATGAGGTGTTGACACTACCGCAGTCTCAGCAATGGCCTTATGACCCACTATTGCTGACTCAACTTCAGCAGTGGATAATAGATGTCCTGAAACGTTAAGCATATCGTCGGTTCGGCCGGTAATCCAATAATACCCGTCTTTATCCCGTCTGACCCCTAAAAATAATTAGAGAATTGTGTTTACATTAAATTTTTTAAAATTAAGCAAAACATAAGCCAATGGCAATAATTGCATACCATCTCCAGTGCAGAAATAGCCCCTAAACTTGTGAAAATAGGTCATTTCAAAGCGTTCGTGATTACCATCAACTGTACGAGCAATTGAAGGCCACGGCCTCTTAAATACTAAATGTCCGACAGCTGGTCCTTCCAATTCCTTTCCCTCATTGTTGACAACTGCAGGAACAACACCAAAGAAGGGGAATGTTGCCGAACCCGGTTTCATAGGTGTACAGCCAGGCAGTGGTGTTATCATAGGGGCTGCAGTCTCTGTTTGCCAGAAAGTGTCCACTATTGGACACCGACCGTTGCCAACAATATTCATGTACCAAAACCATGCTTCTGGATTAATCGGTTCGCCAGCAGTTCCCAGTAATTTAAGTGATGTTCGCTTATATTTCTTTACCCAATCATCTCCATACTTCATCAGTGACCTGATAGCCGTGGGTGCCGTATAAAATATGTTTACATTCAATTCGTCTACTATTTCCCATAGTCTTCCCGGGTGTGGATAGAAAGGCGTTCCTTCAAATAATACTATAGTTGTGCCGTTGGCCAGAGATCCATAAACATTGACCGTATGTCCGGTAATCCATCCCAAATCTGCTGTACAGAAAAACACGTCTTCATCGGTATAATTAAAGACATATTTGAATGTTGTGGCCGCGTATAACATATAACCACCGATTGTATGAACAACTCCTTTGGGCTTTCCTGTACTTCCACTGGTAATGCCATTGATTACATAAATATTAGTATAATTTATTTTTTATTTTATTTAAATATTTTTATGTTTTTGTATATTTTGGATCAAATCAACAAAAACAAACATAAAATGACTAATGACTTGATGTGAAACAATTTGATATATCTTTGAGTTAATATAATCGATGACTTAATAAAATCAAAAATTTATACAAAATTCAATTGTAGTTAACTATGTTTTTCAACATTAATCAAAAAACATAATTTTCTTGTTTATCCTTTTAATCGCTAAAATTTATGATAAGTTAATGCAATCTTTTCTCCCATTTATTCATTTGTTTTAATGAATAACTCAGTCCTCACTTTCTTTTTATTCAATAAAAAAACATTTGAAAACTTTTCCTTTTTTTATATAAGAGCTTCTATTATAACTATTTCAAACTTAAATGTACTTTAATATAATGTTTATAAATTAAAAAATATGATTTTATAGAAAATTAAAAAAAAAATTTCCTCAAAATTCTTTTATTTTATTTTACGCTTATTTTCTTATTGACTGTAATTAATGAAATACAGTATATAAATATAATAATCATAATAATAATTGTTATTATACTGTACAGTATATAAAATGTTTTTTTTTGGTATTATTTTGTTTATCCACGACTTATAAACTTGAATTTATTTTAAGATAGTTAATAAAGATATATGAATTTGTTTTGCGACAAATTCTTGTTAAAACCTAATGTCATGTATTTTGCCCGAAAACAAACTAATAGTTGATATCTAAATGTATATACATTTAGAGAAATCCAGTTATGATAATGAAAACTACGTGTAGTATGTCTCGTAGCAAAATGTGATATATGTATGAAAATGTGAGATAATTGTTTGTATATATATTAATATATATATATATAAATGCTATCAAACCTGGTATAGAGTATGAAAAGTGGGTCTTCAGCATCGAGCCAAGTGGGCTCACAGTAATCACTTGCAGTCTTCATCACCTGATCCCACCAAATGTCAACTTTAGGGTTCCATTTGATCAAAGGTTGCTTTGGATTGTTGTTGAGGTCGGCCTCATCTACTCCCAGGTTTAGATGTCGGTTCACAATACATGCTATTACTCGATGACCCCTACATTTCACCGATAAAATACAGAAACAAAAAGTTTATGATATTAAGAACCGGTTATATGATTTGACAATTAAAAAAATAAAGATGTTTTGATAATGAAATCTTAGCATTACTTTAATCTACAGGTGTCCAGTGCTTCGTCCGATATGTCTTTTAATGGTATAAATTTAGTGCCCCGGTATGCGCCGTCCGATGTTACTAATAGCACACAATTGCAGTCTAATATACGGTCTGCTAAGGCCTCTGCGGAAAAACCAGCGAACTGTGCAAATGATGTCAGACTCTCATTATTAATGCAACTTTTGCTTACAGTTTAATAAATGTTAGAGAAATATATACTGTATATGCGTTTATCACATAATTTGATAAAAACGATATTTCTTTTTTGTTGTGTTTTTCATAAATTAATTTTTATGTAATTCACACATATATAGCAATAAATGTTATAAAGCTTAAAAATTTGTATTTTTCAAATGAAAACTCATTATATATGTAATTTAACATTTGATAGTTTATATTAATTAAATATTATGAATCACTTGCCACAACTGAATGTATTGCACCGATTCTGGCACAGGCCAACATAGCTGTGACCAATTCAATGGTGACGGGCATATAGATGGCCACCCGATCTCCCTTTTTGACGCCTTTGCTTTTGAGGACATTTGCAAACTTACAGACTTCCCGACGGAGGTTACTGTATGTGATTTGACGTCTATTGTCTGGTTCATTGCCTTCCCTAAGAAAATGGATATTTTTAGTCAAAATTATTTTGTGACTAATTATTCTATAGTTAATTGAATGTTTAAAAATAAACGTAAAGATATATATATAAAGAGAGAGAGAGAGAGAATGTTTATTAGGTTATAGATATATAATGAAATTGCACTGTAAAGTGAAATGTATGTCAAATAATAAAATATTATATAATATACGTATATATATATATATATATATATATATATAAATAATTATTATTCAAAGAAAACAGCGAAGAAAAATAATCGCAAACAAAATAAAGTAATAATAAAATAAAAGTTACTATAAATTTGGTGTAAAATAAGGGAGAACTTTGAAAACAATGAATACTGACCAGTGGTAAGCGATTCTGTCTCCGAGTCCATTGTCAATAATACGGTCGAGTATATTGTAGCACATGTTGGTTACGGCTCCTTCCATCCATTTTGCATAAACAGGTCCACTAGAAATGTCAAAATTATATTTCAAAAATTCATTTTTCGGACCACATTTCCAGTAAAAATCCTTTGCGATGTCACTCCAGAAACCCTCGGGATCTTCGATGGACTTCTTATACATTCGTCGGTATTCTTCAAGACTGGACAAATGGGCGTCTCTTTTGTATTCTTCATTGGGATAGATAATTGTCTCCTCCTCTGTATCTGCAATCGCCATCTCTTTGACTTTTAATACGCTGTTTAATGCGTATATATTTCTTGAGCACAGACTTGACTTTAAAGCAATTAATTGCACACTCAGTCAACTCACTACCAATCAGGTCTGTCTCCTAATCACTCACTCACTCACTCTCTCTTTAGTCACTTATTTATCACTTTCTCTTTGAACTAAAGGTGTCCTGAAGTTCAGTAACAACACATCTGCTTCGCTGATAGTTGATGTGAAAGTAAAGATTTTTGGAGAACAAGTAGAGAACAAGTTGTGAGAAGTTGTGTTTAGTTCACCACAAAACTTATGATAACTTTGTGAGTGAGCGGTGGTGTCGACTGACTCTCTCTGACTATAACTTCCTCACAAAAAGCCGTTCTCTCAAGTTTTCAGATGTATTGCTATTGAAGTATACTATGAGGAGAGAGAGAGAGAGAGAGAGAGAGAGAGAGAGAGAGATAGAGAGAGAGAGAGAGAGAGATCAATAGAAAATCGTAAAACTGTATATGACTTTCGTATATATTGATATAAGAGAGCACTTACTGGTAGTAACAAATATAAGCTCTCAATTTGCAACCAGGTATTCAAGCTTTTCATTTGCACTGTCGTTTGAAACTCATTGAAGATTTTTTGTTGAGCAGTGCTGGTGGTGGTGTCGGTTGTGTGATGGGGCTGTCCTTGGGTCCTCCCATCAAACCATTTCATCAAATGTGTGCCTTTTAAATGATTGACTCGATATATGATATGTTTTTTGTATTATATTTGTCTGTTTCTGTATTAATGTGATGTTCAGCTTCTCCTGGATTTACCACAAAACACAGCACTGGAACTGATTACGAGATTTTCGCAGATTCACCAAAAAAGAAATTAATTAAGTTTTCATTATCAGTGACTTACTGCTCATTCCTTATACACCCTGTCCTCTCTCATGTGATTTTATTAAAATCTTTAAATGTTTTTATTAGCAATTTTATGACAAAAATTAATTCAAAATCTTCCTCTTAATATAATATATCTGTTTCTTCATATATCTTCATAATATGTCTCCACTTTATGTCATCCGTTGCTCACAAAACTGCAAAAAACAAATACTGTTTACGCAATCGTTTAATAATTATTTCAATTGTGTTAACATTCAAAAATTATTTACAGATTTTTTTTCATTTTTTAAATTTTATTTACAGATCTATTATTTATACATTAATTTATACCTTATTTGTATAGAATATATAAAAATTTTCAAATGAAAATAAAATTTAATATATAATATATTATCAATGTGATCAATAATATATAATAAACTAATTATGATAAAAAATTAATAATCATTATCAAATATCAAAACTATTTAATTTATTTTTGAATATCAAATAATAAATTATATTATTATTATTTTGAAAAAATTATTATTTGAATATAAAATTTTGATCGATATAGATATAAAAAGCCAATTTTTAAAATATTAGTTGTATTAACTCAAACCTTAATATTTTGCCTAAATTTTACTTTTATTGAAGTTTTTATCAAACGATTATAAATTATAAAAATGCTTTTTAAAAATCCATTTATATTTCAAAATAAATAAATATTATAAAAGTATTATTTTTTAAATATTTAATAAATAATATTATCAATTATATTAATTAAATTTCTAATAAAATACAATTTAACTTACTTGTTTAAATACAAATTTTGGTAAAATAATATTTATAATAATTATGATAAAAAGTAGGATATAAATAACAGTGATAAAAATTATATACTATTTTTAACAAAATTAATTGTTTCTAATAAGGAACTAATAAAAACATTATTTTAGTTTTAAATAATATTTTAAAATATATTTTAAAAGTATACTATGTTTATATTGTATTATAATTAAATAATATTTATAAATATTAATATTAGGAAAAGTAACACCATTTAAAAGTTGAAATAATTAAAAAAAATTAAGTAATTTAGTATTCATATATTTTTAAAAACAAAAATAATTATGATCATTTAAATATGCAAATTTAAATTGCTGATAAATATAATAGTTAACTAAACAAATTATAAATTAGACATTGCAAACACAGCATTACTATTTAATTTGATTATCAATAGAAACGTTAATAAATTTTTTTTAAAATTATAAAAATTTTCTATAAGAAGTTTCTGTTTATAGAATTTCCATAAATATATTTTCAAAATTATAATATTTCATTCGTTTTATTTAAATTACTTAAAAATATATCAGTGTTTAAAATTCGGATAAAAAATAGTAAAAGTTAATCAAAAGTTGTAATTAATAAACAATTTCTATATCAAACAATAATATCTTAGTTGACTAATATAAAACTTAATTTATAACAAACATTAAAAATTTATAATAAATAATTATTAATAATTAAAATTAGATGTAAAAAATAAAATGTTAATTTACCAAAATAAAATTTATAAAATATTATCATTACAAATAATTATTATTTTATTGGATCTCCATGAATTATTTTAGAAAAATTTTCCATGGAAATTTATTAATTTTTTTGCTATTTCTAATTATTACCTTTTTACATAATTAATTATAAAAATAAAACTTTTAAAATTGTACTTTTATTAATATTTTGCTCATATATTATATTACTTAATATATAAAAATATTTATAATTTTTTATTAATTTTTAAAATGACTGGCATATAAATAATTACATGAGCAGCTTTTGCATATTATAAAAATATTTTAATATCATCAAATATAAATACAAATATAAAACGTGTAGTACTGTATTAATAGATACTTTTAAACAATTAAAGTAAAATGTGTTGCATTTTAAGCATATGATTAAATCAAATGCTATATTACTTTAAATGTAAGTGAAATAACTCGTTATATATCAATATAATAATAAACATTAACTTTTAAGCTAAACATAAAGTTAATTGAGTCCATTATCATTATAGATATACATTGATAGTGATTATTACAGATTACAGAAAATAATAATTTTTTTATATACCTGTCTTTACTATACTTTATTTGCTAATAATATTAAATAAACAATTTATTATATGTGTAATATAGTTCTAAATTATTACTTATAGTTTAATTTTAATATTTTTTACGTTAAAACAAAACAAAAATTATATTACAAAACTTTTAATTTAGTTAAAAGTCACTATTTTTAATATTTAATTTAATATTTTAAAGACTATATCATAATAGAAATCTTTTGTAAACACATTTAATTGATGTTATAAAAAACATTTATTTTATTTAAACAATTTTTTATTTGTATATAATAAAATCCAGGGTTAATTTTTCATTATAATTATGTATTAACAAAATTTATGATCAGATTTATATATATAAATTAATTAACTTACCATAAATTAAAATTATTAAATATTTATTACAATTTATAGCTAAGCTATCTAAAAATATAATCTAAATAAGGTTAATTAAAAGTTGCTTTATTAATGTGTTTATACCTTGATTTAGATCTAAACCTTCATCAAATAAATAAATATTATGTTTATATCGATTATTTAATTTTTAAATTTGCATACTTTATATTATTCAGATGCTATCAATTTTTTACTTTATATTTTATTAGTAAATTATTTAACATAATTTTTAAAAACAAACTATACTATATTTAAGGGTATTTTTTTATAAATTTAAGAATAACATTTAATAGATATAAATATAAAATAACAGACTTATGGATAAACCGCATTTAAAATTAGTTATTACTGTATTGTCAAATAATATAAATTTGACTTATTTTGGAAATGTTTTTATAATAAACATAATTATGAATATAATAATTGTTAATAACAAAGTGTATTTCCCGTAAAATTTCAATAATGCAAAATGTATAATATTTTTTATACAATTTTTTTAATATATTACATTATTAAGTGAAAATGATAATATAAAATAGTTACCTTTGAATAACAATGAAAAAATTAAATATAATTCTATAGTTTTTATATTGTATAAAATCTGCAAAATTTTATTATTATACAAGTATTTAATTTAGAAATTTAGAGTTTATAATATTTTATAGAGTATTAATTTGTTTATAATATAAATATATCAGCAATAAAATGTTATTTATATGAATTTTTTAATTGTCTATTAATATATTAAAAATGTTATTACTAATATAGATATTTAGTTGTTTATAATTATTTTTTATAGCTTTTAATAAACTTATAGTAAGTTAGTTCAGATTTTACTGTAAATGTTTATTTTGTATTTCAATTTTCAGTATAATTGTATTGTTTACATTGATGTTAATTTAATTTAAAATAATTAACTAAATTTTATTTATTTTATTTTATAAGTGGCTAAATAGTATCCATCTTATAGTTAACTATTTTCATAAAACTTTTTATTATTAAATAATATAATTAGAATTGTTTTCATTATATAATATTATTTGCAATAATTTTTGATTCAAATAATTTGTTATTTTGAAGGCTATTTATAAAAACTTATTGCATAATAAATCTGATTTTAATGATTATATAAAGTATCAAAATTATGAAAAATGAATGACGTTTTAGACGATTAAATTATAATAATACAAACGTATATACAATATATTAAATATATAATTCATATAAATGAATGAATAGCATCTTTTAAATAGTGTTATAATGTCTCGCAATTGCAAAAAATATATTTCTATTTAAAATTTATTAAAAATTTGCATATTATTCAAAATAATATGATATTTAAATTATAATTTATTAATATATTTTCATTAAACCGTTAGTTTATGTACTCACGAGCTATCGTTAAATGCAATGAACTGTAATGTATATAATATTTATTAATATTGTATAAATAGATTAATATTATTACTTATTAAATAGTAAATACATTTAAATATTTACGTTTAAATAAATACGTTTAATAGATTTAGTTTTTTAAAACAAAATAGTCATTAATTGTAAATTAAATTACAGTTATTCATAATAGCCTTTCAAATAAAATAAAACTTTTATTAAATCATTAGCTAAGTCTTTAAAGTGTTTAGTTATCAGCAATTGTTGTCATATATGGCCAGTCAGTCATCTCTTATACTTTACAAACAATTGAATGAATTAAAGAAGAATCCGGTGTCCGGTTTCAGTGCGGGACTGGTAGACGATTCAAACATCTATAAGTGGGAGGTTTGGATTATGGGACCACCGGATACACTGTATGAGGGCGGGCTGTTTAAGGCATTATTGGACTTTCCAAAGGATTTTCCACAGAGACCGCCAAAAATGAAATTCATTACTGAGATATGGCACCCAAATATCCATACAAACGGTGAGGTTTGCATTTCAATACTACACGAACCGGGAGAAGACTCATTTGGCTACGAAAAAGCCAACGAACGTTGGCTACCGGTTCACACGGTTGAGACAATATTGATATCAGTCATCTCAATGTTGTCCGATCCCAATGACAACTCCCCGGCCAATGTCGATGCGGCCAAACAGTTCAGACATGACTTCAACACTTTCAAGAAAAGAGTCGGACAATGTGTTCGCAAAAGTCAAGAATCGTTGCCGTGATTGTCATCTCTGAAAACAAACACTAATCAGTTGTAACATATTTATACCCAGATATATATACATACATACCTACCCCTCCCCTCTCACTCTTAAGTTTGGGTTGTTTACTATAAATTCATATTTTTATTTTTCAAACCACAAATAAATTGTTTTAATGTATGAATATATTCTTAATAAAATAGTTTTTCTGTTTAAAAATGTAAATATTAAAAGTGAAATATTGTATGATTTATCAAATATTTAATTATATTTTTAGAGTTTTTGAGGATTGGCTTTTTGGGAAGTCCAGAATTTTGGGAAACTTTTAATTTTGATTTTTTATCATAAAAACTATAATCACTGGTCATTATCAACTAAATATTTTTTAACGATTTAATTAAATTTAGATCAACATATTAAGATTCAATTTTTTTTAATACTGAATAGAGTGAAAATATAATATTTCCTTTATTTTCTGGGAAAATTTAATAAAATTTATACGGGAATTTCCCTTTTTTTTGCAATATTACCTAAACTTTAATCACTACATAGAACTAAATAATATGATTTAACATTAATTATAATATAATTATTATGTAAATTGATTAGTAAACATAAAATTATCAAATTAATAAAATAATCAATTAAAATTAGATCAGTAATTAAACAAAAGTTTATTTAAAAAAATGAAACATTAATTACTAAAATAATTTATTTTATTTAAGTGAATAATTATCTCATAATTTTTATTAAATATAATTAAATATAATAACTGTTATTATATACAGTATAGTATTATATAATTTATACTGTATATACAGTATAATAGTAGAATATAATATATTTATTAAATTATTGTATTGCACTAAATTTTAATAACGTTAATAAAACTTTGCATATACTAGTAATTCACTTAATTTTTATGATACACAGTATATCTTCAATATTGAAAAAATAAGTTTTGATATAAACACTGGTCATTTTTAAATGTCCTTAAAGTAAATATATTATTAATAATAATAATTGTTATTTACTTTACATAAATTAATAAGTACTGTAATAGTATTCTACTGATAACTAACGTTACTATTGATAATCCTCTGTCTTTAAGTACAAACTAATTTAATTTAAAACTGTGCATGATTAAATACAATCAATATACTACTTATTGTAAACTATAATATTGTATATATCATCATTATTAAAAATATAGTTAATTATTATTATTATATTAATTAACATTAATTGACTTTAATTGCATTATTAAAGTGTTAATTTTAGTTTTTTTTAAATAATTATTATTAATATCTACATTTATAATTGGATTTTGCATATATTTCTAATCTATATTTATTATACATTGTTTTTATACATCATTCTCTACAAGTATTTCTCTCGAAAGTATAAAATTGTTTTCATTATGATATACTTTACTTTAGCATTACTTTTATAATAATAATAATTATTTTTTAATCATTTAGATTTTGATATTTATATTGACATAAAATATTAATACAAAAATTGTGTAATGCATGTGCTTTACCTCATACTTTGTAAGTATGGTTTTTATTAAGTATTTGAATTATACTTTCTCTCAAAGTTTTATGTTTTGCAAACTTTATAAGTAGTGTTTTTATTTTTTAAAAAATTAGAAAATGGTTTATAAATACAGTCTATTAATTTACTATATCTGTATTATGTATTATAGGATAAGCTATAAAATGAGCTAGTTGATTCAATATAATTTATATATTAATATTTTAACAGTAATATATTTTTTAACATTATTTTAAAATAGCTTTCTTTATTTTTTTGCAAAAACACTGATTAAAAAAAAATATTCTGGCTATTTAAATAAACTTTATTTAAAGTTTTATTTATAATAAAAAATAAATATATAAAATTTCGCAATTGATAAATAATAATGAAGTTTATTTTATTGTTTCAACAAATCTAGTTTAAGTTACAATCAATAACTTAAACAATACTATAAAATATTATCTGTAAGTGAGTGAGTGTTAGTTTAAAACACTAATATTTCAATAACTAAAAGCTATACATATTTTTATTTATTCAATCAGTTCATTGATTCGTAATACGAAAAAAATAAGAAAATATTTAATTGGGAGGTATTTTCTGATAATATAAATTATGAGTGCGATTAAAAATTAGAGTGCAATTTATCAAAGTGGTCAAACAAATTAACCTTGCTAATACTAATTTTTATCACATTTATAACCCCAAACACATCTACAATGTTTGATATCATACGTGACATTTATTGCTAAGAAAGTTACATAATATGAAACATCATAAATGACTTTCACTCGATATTTTCTAAACCAGTTTTTGAAAATTAAAAATATTATATTATTAAATAATAACAAGTATTATATTGCAAACAAATCCGCAATTTCTTAACTACTATACACAAAAAATACATTAATTAAATAGAATATAAGTTATATATATATATATATATATATAGTATATATGTGTAGAAAATAAAAATAAATAAATGAAAAAATGGTTAAAATTTAGGTTAAGGCAAAATGTTTTGTTAATCATATTATATGATTCATATACTGATTTCAACTGTAAAAATGAGTATTTGTGTGTTTGTAATGTTAGAGATATTTAAGATCAGAGACAACCATATCTTTAAAAACGAATGATTAATAATATTATCAAAATTGATTAAATATTTATTTTCATTTATAGCAAAATCCAACGATAATTATCAAAATAAAATAATAACTTATTTAACAATTTTTTATATGCTGTACTAAATTGATGCTTATATTTTTTTATATACGTATATATACTGTATAATAATAATACATAAAATTGTATATTCAATGTACTGTACCTGTACAGTTTCATACTGTGAAATATAATATAAAAAAATATTAATAAATTATTATTAATTATTATAATTATTAGTTATTGTAAATATAGTATAAAGATATACAGAAAATATAAGCAAATTGATTATAGAAATAACATTTAACAGTATAACACAATATTTTAAAATTAATTATATAGTAAAAACAAAACAAAAAAACACACATAAGTTAAGAGAGAAAGTTAAATATATATGACATTTGAAATTTATGATTGTATTTATTGAAATATTTTGACAGATCAGGTCTCATATAAAATGGTTAATCCATGTGATGGTTGATTGTAGTGTCAGTGCACCCTATCATATATTTTGCCGGCAGTTATTTTGATAGCATAAAAAATTATTGAAATTTAAAAAATTAAATCCAACAACACTTTGATTTGAAAGAGTTTAAGCCATCGACATGTGGTTAATATAAAGTCTATAATCATTACTTGGTTTATGTCTTGAGGCGGTTTAAACATCATAACAATTACAACTATCACTACTAATGCTATTACTATCACTTATAGTGTAGTGAACTCATATGAACTCACCTCCGATGACCTCTTATTAAATCATTTAAGTTGTTTGACATACAAATTGATGCCAAACTTGACTATTATTTCAGATTAATATCAAAAAACTTTGGAAAACTTTTTTAAATACAGTATATAATAATCATTGCAATGAAAACCACTATTTTATTGGACGTAATGTTTGTAATAATCATTGACTTGTGTTTTGTTTATTAATAATAATAACAATAATAAACAAATTGACTGACAGTTTGTGTCAACAAATCTAATCATTGATCACATCATTACCATTGAATGCTAGACAGTGTAGTTGTCCACCGATTACTATGAAAGATAACGACCAGATAATGACCAACTCTGATCTGACCATCGATACTGTACGCCATCGGTACCCGTATTGCATAGTATGGACACCGATCCCGTTGTTGACGTGGTTGGTGCCCGTCATCGGCCATATGGGTATCTGTATGTCTAACGGTGTGATCCGTGATTTTGCCGGTCCTTACTATGTATCACAAGATGACATGGCTTTTGGTAATCCCACCAAATACTGGCAATTGTCATCAAAACTGTTGACCGGCGGTCACTGTTGGGACGATAGCGTCAAACAGGCCAGCGATGAATACATGAACCGAATGGTAAACATTGAAATGTCATAACTTATGTCTTAAATGAAGATGTCTTTGATTTGTTTTGTTTATTAGCACTCTTTGTGTTGCGATAACTGTCACTCACACGTCTCGATGGCATTAAATCTTATGCAATACAACGGCAAATGTGATTACAATATGTTTAACACTTTTTTCCGATTTACTTATCATTGCAAATATGTTAGGTTTGTATTGATTTATAAAACAATTTTACTATTATTTTGTTAATGAAATCATTGTTTTTGTTTTTGTTTTTGTTAGTTTTTGTGCTTTTCTGAAGACTTGGTTACCATTTGTGGTCTGGATATTAGTATTGATTGTTTTAGTCATATATTTTCAATAAATTTCATTAAAAATGAGTTATTATCAGTTATTTTGAATATAATTATTGAATTTTTTTTATATAAAATTTATTTATTTATTTTTACTTTCAGATTAATACCATAAGTGTTTTGCAATTACAATAATTTTATATTTAAACTAATCAAATGATAAATTATTGTATATTAAGTTATTCCTATTTTGTATACTATTTTAGATTTTATGATCAAACTTTGGTACATTTATTTTTCACTAAACCCATTAAAACAACCCAATGTTGTATATTTGATAAATATTATATATTTACTCATAAAATATTACTTAATAATAATATAAAGAATGTATAAATTAATTGTAAATTTTAGTTATAAAAAATAATTAATTTACAGAATAGATATTTAGATCTTTTAATAAATTATTTGCTATTGTTATTATTGACATCAAAATCGACAAATTTTTTCAGTCGTAACAAATATTCTTCATATGTATAGAGATTGTCGTGTCCGCCGCCCTCAACCCATAGAGGAGGCGCCGGATTCTTGCAGAGGGCATTTAGTTTGTGGGCGTGTGACAGGGGTACTACTAGATCTCTAGTGCCGTGAATTATGAGTATTTTAGTATCAATTTTACCGATATTGTCGACACTATTGACCAGAAAATACAAAAATTAGTTTTAAAAATGAATTGATTGAAGACATACTTAGAAAATGAATCATAGAATCGAGTGCTGGCATTCTCGCCGTGAATGTTAGGCATAAATATTCTGGCAATTGATAGGAACGGTGAGTGCAATATAATACCGCGCACCGGGTGTTTGTTGCCTAAGTAGATACTGGCAGCCGTTCCCAAACTTTGTCCGTATAGTACAACTTTGTCGGCAGTGACGCCATACTTATTGATGAGGACATCCCAAGCGGCCTCAGCATCGGCGTAGACATTCTTCTCTGTTGGTTTACCGGTGCTCTCACCGAAACCCGAATAATCGTAACTAAATATATTGCAATTAAGTCTCATTCCAAGCGTATAGAAAAAGTTGCATAAATTTCCCAGATCTACAGTTCCTCCGTGACTGAACAGTATAGTGTACTTGGGATTGTCGCACGACTTTATGTATAGACATGCTATACGGTTATTACTTTTGGTTTCGGTGAAAAAGGCCTCAAACTTTTCAGGATATCGATGACAGTGTTGCCACTCAGATCCCTGGTTAAGCCTTAATGTGTACTTACTGGCCACATCATCGGACTCGTATGTATAGGACTTACGAGGCAGGGGTGGCATAAAGTGGACAAATACCGAACCGATCACATCCTTTAATAAGTTTAACATTATTGTTGAAATTTATTTAGTTTTTTGTTGTCTAAAACTATATGAATAAAATACAATGATTTTTAATGATAGATAAAAAACGATATCACATATAAAATTATTTTAAATATTTTTAAACGAAGTGAAGTGCGTCTAAAACTTTAAGGAAAACTTTGTTGTATATGATATACAATTTATGTCATATGTATGTAATGATTGTGTGTTTTTTGTTTTATGTTGACTTTCACTTCATTTCGTAAGACATACCAAAAACCAATAATAATAATAATAAATAAAAACTCATAATTATTCCGTCATAAGTATTACGTGAAAACCTGATTTTTTAACTATATATAAGTAATAGGATAAATGGTTATAATTAAAGAGAGCTACGGGAGAGCAGAGAATAGCACAGGTAGATAGATATACAGTACATATACAGGTGAATGTGTTTTCATTAATATTTATTAGTTTATAGAGTGGTATCTGGTATGAGACAAATTCAATTGAAAAGTACTCAAAAAGTTTTTGCTAAAAACAAATTCAAGGCAAACAACAACAATATAAAATATCGGACAATAGTTTTGTATTTTAAATAATATAATAATATATTTTTAATATTAATAATCATTGCATTGAATGATGACATTATAATCATAGTTTAAATATAATAATAGCTTAATATAATATAATATTTTAGTTAAAAATATAATACTTATGCTATTATGTAATAACTGACTTAAGTGTACTCACATTAATGTTTATAATAATAGATAAAATAAGTTTGTGATAATGCTGACTTTGGATTTAAATATACGATATATTGATATTTTTAACCACATTTATTTTTATACTTTATAAATAAGTACTAAATATTAAATATATATAATTTAAAGATATATTTTTTCACATTGATTATTTAAAAGTGCAAAGGTTTTATTTAAAAATAATTTGAAAAACATTACTTAATTGTACAAAAGCACTATTATATTATTTTACTAATTATTACAAATTAATACTTTACATTATAGCTTATAAACAATTAATACAATATTGTCATAAATTAAATTACTCCAAAGTATTATCTCAAGTAATACAAAAATATTTACAAACTATTATACAATATTTTACTTATACTTAACCTCTATTTTTTGTTATTACCTAATATTACTACAGTATATTGTTATATATTGTTTAAAATTAATAAAATCACAAAATCGTGTTTTAAATTATATATAATTATTAATTCTTATGATTTTAAATTATTTTTTTTAAAGCTAAATAAAAGTCCAAAAGTTTTGTAATACTTTATGTCATTTTTGTCGATGTTTTCTAATATTACAAAAGTTTAGTCAAATTCACACAATTTAACAATTTGTAAAAAATAAAGTCGAAAATTAAAAGCAATTTATTGCTGATGACAAACATGTGGTTTATTTTTCTAAATACATAATTTTTAACAATTTCTTTTAATTTAAATAATAAATAAATCCAAATCAGAGTGAATTTATTTATAACTAATGTGTAATTATGTTCATCTTATTTGGCCATTGCTTTTAAATCACTATTTTTCTAATTAAATGTATATTTGTTAACGAAAAAAAAGAATAATTTTTTATTAAGCGATTAGCAATTCTGACAAACAAATGTGTCAATGATTTTAACATATTTTATATATTAAATAATACAAAAAAAAACATATTATATTAATATAATATTAACTTGAGATATAATTAGTACTATTAATACAACCAAATGCAATGCAAATTCTGGTAATCTTTTTATTATTATTTTATTTGAAAACATAACACAAATTAGAATTCAATTGTTTGATGTATTATTTGTTATATATTTTTTACTATTCATGTGAATTTTTCTCAAAAATATTTAATTTTTATCTAAATATCATTTATATTTCAATATTTGATATTTATCTTATTATTATTGTTAAAGAATTCTTAGTAATTTTTAAAAATATTTAACTCAATATCTATAAAATTATATCATTTGCTTATTTTAATGTGATATTTGTTCAATGTTTTATAAAAGTTTAATTAATATACTTTTTTATTTACAATGCTATTGATTGTCATATTTACTGATTAATATTTAATTAACTATTAAAAAAATATTATGTAAAAAAGTTAATTAAAATTTTAAAATTTTAATTTATTTAAAATTATTTATTTATTTATTCTTTGATAAAATTATAATTAAGTGTAAAAATTTAACAAACACATTTATAATGTGTTAATTTTGATGAATTGTTATAGCTTACCGATAAGATTATCAATTATAAAACTTAACAAATCTTATAAGTTATTAAACGCTACTAAAAACTTAAACAATTGTTATACTTTGAGCTTGATAATTTTAGGCACTAGTGTGCCAAGATTATAATGATAAATTAGAAAAATCAACTTGGCTATATTTACAAATATATTTGCATAACATATTAGATAGATATAACAATGCAATAATTACATTAGAATATGTTGTTAAAATTGTATTTATTATAAATATTTGTAAGTTTTCATTAAAGTACATATGTATTAGTTGTTATAATATAATAATTTATATTACTATTATATTATATAATTTATATTAAATTAATGTTGCTTTGATTGGTTAATAATTAACAATAATTATCACATAATAAATCAATGTTCAACTACAGTATTATCAATTAACATTTATTAAAAAAGCTTAACACAATACATAAAAATGTTATAATTAGTTTGATTGTTATAATCGACACTTGATATTGAAATATTACTACAAAAAAATTAATTTTATAATTAATAATATTTTATAAAATACATTATTTTTAATGTATAAAAACTTGTTGTAATAATGAAACAAAAAAATCCCAGCAATGAATTGCTAAATGATTTAAATTGGAGGACTCGTATGTTTTATAGTTTCGGTCATATCTATAATGATTTGTGCGCTTCCGTATGGTTTTCATATACATTATTGTATTTTAAGCTTAATTTTGATGATAGTATAGCTGGACTACTCCTACTATTAGGTATTAAAAATTATCATTAATTTTATCAATAGTTTATTTTATAAAGTATTTACTTTAATAATCAAGATTTTATTTATTTATTTATTATTATTATTATTATTATTATTTAATATTAAATTAATAAATTATCATTGCTCTCAAAAAATTTCAATATTTTAGTTTATTTATAATTTAGTGCATTATGTGATAATAATAAAATTTAATTTAATTTTTCAAAATTTGTTACATAATGTGTACTTATAGGACAAGTGGCGGACGCGATATCTACGCCATTGATTGGTTACGGATCGGACAAAAACTTTGATTTTTTTATTTGTCGTTACGGAAGACGAAAAATATGGCATTTATTGGGAACTATTTGTGTCTCACGTATGATATTTATATATAATTAATATTTAATATATATATATAATATTAATTCAATTTAATTAATTTCAGTGAGTTTTCCATTTATATTTAATTCTTGTTTTGTTTGCGATGAGAGTGCCGTTTGGGTCAAACTATCGTATTATTCAATATTTATTATAATATTTCAATTTGGGTGGGCGTGTGTCCAGGTCTCACATGTGGCGCTTATTACTGGTATCAAACTTTTAAATTTTATAATTTATTATATGTTATTACTGCATATTATAGCATATATAACAATATTTATAATTTTATAATTTATATATTTAGACTTAACAACAATATCTTCACAACGCACTGAACTCAATGCTTATAGGTATGACTTTTTATATTCAGTAGATTTGAATCAGTATAATATTATTTGTAGTATAATTTATTTAATTATCTTAATTTAAAGTATTAAATGTATTAAAATTTTAACAAATTATCATTATAATGAATTACAATTGTGATAACTAACTTATCAATAGTATATATTTCAAGTGTTTAATCGTTTGACCGATAAAAGTGAAAACGAATGTTAATATTAGTTAGAAAACTAATATTTTTTATTAATAAAAAAAATATTTTTGCTTTAGTTAGCAATTTTAGTGCTTACATACAGTACTTGATTTTTACAAAAACAGTGCAATATCTTTAAAATGCTAAACACATTAATTTATATACATTGTTGATAATCTATAATATAATATCAATATTCTTAAAATAAGTTTGTGATAAAAAATTTTATATAATAAATGTTAATAATTAACAGATAAATTCTAACATTACTCTAAGCTTTAGAGCTAAACTGCATTTACTGAAAGTTTTATAATAAATATTTTAGTGCTAATACTGTTATTTAATACTGTAGATGTCTCACTTGTATTACTATTAAAATAATACAGAAGTTATTTTTTATAATTAAAATATTCAACAGAATACAGTATTATATATCAGAATCAGAATAATAATAATAGATTTATAATTTTTTAAAATTATAGTTAAAAAATTAATACAATATTTATAATAAAATTATATAATTATATAATGTTTATAATTAGTTTTAATTGTTATAATACGCCAACATATTAATTGAGAATAAATTCAATGTCATTTTTACCACCTTTTGCTAGTTTACGATAAATTATATTTAAAATACTTATTTTTAGTATACTGATATTTTTAAATTATATAATTATGATAATATACTGTTATTTAGTTTAAAGCAAACAGTATTTAGGGAAAAAATTATCACTCACTTGACAGACACTATGATTGATACTCCAGGAGCACATGTACTATATATACGATACACCACTAATACATTCAAATTTGATTAGTGTTATCATTTATATCTCAAACTTTTATAACACATTTGATATAATATTAATAAGTATTAATAATAACTTCCAATTATGCAAAAAATTGTAATAATAATGTTTTATCTGACATTTAACTACAAGACAGGCGGCAACAGTTGGTTCCAGTATTTGTGTTTATTGTATAACTTTGTTGCTATTGGGTGTCGAAGAGACCACAATTGATAAGAGAGATACCATTGTTTTTATGGTACATTCAGTTAATATATGTAATGTCCAGATATGATAATAATTTATGAATACAATTGACAGAAAATGGTTCATTTTATATCAATCATTGGTGTCATCTTTTCTATACTATTTCACATTTTTGTCAGTGAACCCAGTTATTCACA